CGAGCTAGAGATGTTTGAGCGGTCACAGCTGGGTGAGTTTTGATTTGCACTGCCCTCCTCCAACCAGCCAAGACTTTTATTCGATCTGTCGTATCTGCACGTGGATATCATTGTTGAGGGGAAGACTTGGTATTCTCAGATTTACTGACTTGTGACTTCCTCTGAACAGGTAGTTTGTGTTGTGATAATGCCGAGGAGGCCAAGTCTCTCATTCCGAGTCTTCAGAATAAGATCTCCGATGGAGACTTGCAAGAATTGCTGGATGAGCTGACCAAGTTGCGCAACTTCACTGAGTAAAAAAACATATGCCACAGGCCGGTCGCATTTTCACTGTGGATGCCTCATTTTTAGGAGCATGGAGTTTGAAGGCGTTATTTTTTTTTTTTTCTTAGTTTGGGTGGATTTCCAAGTGTAGATCCTAAACCTTTGCAACGGATTCCTTGGATTAACATACCATAGGTACATACATAGGTACATATGGAGGGGAACTGGTGATTCATAATAGAAACCTCCCCGGGCCAACCATTGCAGGTCAATTCTTATTACATACTCTATCCAATTTAGCCAAGTCCGTGCTCTTCCGTTTGCCACCGGAATAGTAATTTAACATGTGCCGGGGAATGTGCCCTTGACTCCGGGGTGTTCCACTCCGGGGACTAACATTTGAGAAGCTAAAACATCCTATTTTGGAGTATTACATATGAGATTGCACAGCGGTCAGAGAACACAGCGAAAGGTATGTACGAACAACAGAGAAGATGCATATTTCGGGAGAAAGTGCATAGAGTGCATAGAGTAAATATAGCCTAGGCTTTCTTTCCCTCCACATTACATTCACCCCACAGTTTTGGATTGCAGAGTTTCTCGGGCGCTACTGCGACTGTTAGTATGGGACAGACTGTGATTGGTTAGGTGGAAAGCCGTTATCACTGGATGGTGATTGGCTCGGGAGATCCTTGTCCAACAGTACCTCGGCCAGTCAGACAGTCAGGTCATGCAGGAAGACAATCCCTGGGGAACGGCAGAGGACAAATTAAATGAAATTTAAATGAAATTTAAACCCCGATCGGGCCATTTTGAGGTTCTCATTATCTAACTATTTGATCTATATCCCTCTGTCAGAAACTAAATGCAAATGATGACCTAAGGATATTCAGTACGTAATGCAAAATCTGGTTTCAGAACCAATCAGCAAGGAACAGCTTATCTTTGACAATTAAAGTGTCATAATGTCCATAATTGTCAGTCACTTGTTTTAACTTAATATAGGTTTTTGTTACGAGAGCAAAAAAGCTGATCGCCTGGTACTCGGAAAAGTAACGAATTTTGGGCAACTCAATAGTTTATATTACCTATTAGATCGTAGATCCATGTCATCATGGATTCTGGCATTCTGGCATTCTGGATTCTGATTCTTTTCATCTCTTTTCCTCAACTTCGCTCTATTCCCCAGATCTTTAACGAGTAGGAATGACGGAGCGGACTATTCGACATCTCATCTTGCTGCAGTCACTTGCAGGTTCATCTGCCTGATATACCTCTTTTTTTGATCTCCGGTGCCGGCTTTGGATTATCGTGAACTTACTCCGGAGATAACCAACTCTTTTTTTTTTTCTTTCTCTCTGATAAGAGTATGTGTCTCTCTTATCACCATGATCTCATCCAATGACTGACGCGGTATATTCAGAAAAATAAGAGGTCTGGAATATAGATCTTAGATTACAGAGTAACACGTCTGGAGGAAGCTCCGTGAAGACCCTATCATCGTTTCTTTATCTCCGCTCTTATTTGCCCCGATTATCGTGCCTCCAGGGCTAGTTCCGGTCCACATGGCTACCGTTATCACTATCCAGCCTTCGGGCTATTCCCAAACCCATTCCCCTGATCTCCGCCGAAAGACGGGTTCGACCCCAACGCTCTCGCCATCCCCCATCTCCATCAATTCGACCCTTCCCCGCGTACGGAATGGAGCTAGCTGTGACGCTTGTCTCCGCAGAAAGAGCAGGTGTGCCATGAACGAAATGGTCAATAAGTGCTACTCATGCGACTTCCATCGCCAGGATTGTACCTTCACTCTCACAGCCCAATCCGAGGTTACATCCAAGAAAAGGAAATTGGACGAAGGGCAGGAGCCCACCGAAGCAATTAAGCGGTATGGAATTCCAACCGGCTGGGGATATACTTCAGCGCCCTATATCGAGAGAAATTGTGCCCTAACAATCTCCAGACCCTCAACAATACAACCGACGCATTCTATCCCGGAAACTGAGCCTCACACATCAGCAGTGAACATGATTCGCCCCGGTTTCTTTAACCAGTCAACCCAGCATATTGGCATGACCACTGAGCTGGAGCCGACCTTGTTGGATTATCTCCCACTTGACCAATACGATGAGTGCACAGTCTCCAACTCCCGCGTGCGGAGATGTGCCGACGACGGCACCTTCATGCGTGTCGTCGACACTGTGCCTGGCGGTGACTCGCAGGCCGTGTCACTTGATGTTATTGAGAGCCTGGTCGCACCCTACGGCTCGACATTGATCGAGAAGTTCTTCGATCATGTACACCCCTCGTTCCCAATTTTGATAGAGGAAGTGTTCCGCCAATCATACCGTGAGCGCCGTGGTCTTTCACCGCTACTACTCGCCGCAGTCTATGTCTTGACATTGAAGTTCGTTGATGTCGGTGCTGCTTCGCAAACTGCGCGCAAACCCGATGCCGCACGGCTAGAGGACTCGGCATTGAAGCTGCTGATGGATTCTTTGCAATTCCCCAGTGTCTCGACTATCCAAGCCGGGCTCCTGCTGACACAGAAGTCGACTCTAGCTACGGCATCATTAAATGGTCAGCTGGTCACGGCCGCGTTCGAGCTGGGCCTGCATCAGGACTGCACGAACTGGCGTATGGAGACTTGGGAGAAAGGACTGAGGAAACGCCTCGCGTGGGCTTTGTATATGCAGGATAAATGGTCGTCGCTGGTGCACGGCCGACCCTCGCATATTTTCGCCTTCAACTGGACGGTCAAGGATCTCGTGGAGCAGGACTTCTCGGATGCCTTTGCCTCCGGCACTGACTCCTCGCACGATGAAACCGCCGTCGGCCACGGTCCTCTTCTTTTCTGCCACATGGTCGCACTAACAACCATTCTCTCCGATATCCTCGACCGTTTCTATACATTGCACGCCATCGAAGAGTTCGCCGCCGCTGGCAACCAGCGTACACGCATGATTTTAGAAAAGGCCAAACCCGCCCAAATCCGTCTTAAGGACTGGTTCTCTTCCCTTCCACCATCCCTCAAGATGGAAACTTCAACTGGCGAACTCGTCGAAACAATAACAGACGAACACGCCCGCAACGGCGCCCTCCACCTCGCTTACTTCGCCACCGAAATAACCCTACACCGTTGCATCGTCCGCTCCCTCCTCGCTGAAGGCACAGACCAGTATCTCGCCCACATCTGCCGCTCCGCCGCAAAGACCCGCCTGATCTCCGCAATGGACTTTGTCAACCGCCTCCGCCCTGCTCACCTCCGCTCTTTCTGGCCCGCCTCCGCACGCACCAACTTCTCTCTCATCGGCTCCTTCGGCATGCTCCTTCGCATCACCGCCCCGACAAACGAGGAGGCAGACTTCTACCGCGTGCGGCTGTGTGAATACCGTTGGACTCTCGGAGTTAGCCACAAGAATGCCGAATTCATGGGCTTCGCCCTTCAAAGTCTGGATAATGCCACCGCGCTCCACAAGCACGTCCCCGCAAAGCCGGGGATTGCAGAGCTCATGGCTTCGTCCGGCAAGAACGCGCCGCCGCGCATGCCGACTTCGGCGCTTGGCTCTTACGATGAGGCTATGATGGATGCCGCCGGCACCGCCGCTTCCAGCTCGGTTATGTCGGGGCTTGCGTCGCCAGCTACCTCTGTTAGTGATATGGAGGATGATGGGGAGGCCTCCATGGCGCCCCTGTGATCATCACGTCCACCTCTCTTCCCATCTCTTCGCCTCAGCTTCATATTTTCCTACCTCCGCCCCGACCTCATATCTTACCTCATTTCAACCCTTTTTTGACTCCTTCTCATGACTCCCCCTTCTGCTCTGGCGTTTTCTGAGGAATTTGTTCTTGATTTTTCTGAGATGAAGCGCTTGATTTTATTTGAAATTATTGATTATGGATGCATCTACCCCGTGCACCGAGTCTGCTTGCACCGCGGACTAAAACCTGTTACGTTGTGACGACGGAATTACCCTGGCTTTGGAATATCTGGATTAGATCAGATTTTGATTATGCTTCGTGCTTGCTTTTGGGTTTTACTTTTCGCCAATGTTTCTAGACAGGAATTATGTATATAGATTGGATGATGAATTATGATTTTATTTTTTTAACAATGATGTTGGCCCTGCGTATCTGAGTGTAGTACCTAAATAGTAGCCTCCTCCCAAAGCCATGTTGGCTTTAGCTTTGGAATTTGGACGATTTTCCCTCGGCGTTATGTCCGAGTGTTTCCCGAAATATGTACCAAATGGAAGCCAAGAAGCGTTATCCATGGAGACTCTGAAGTTGTGGATGCCATGGTCCAGAATAGATGTCCCAGCACAACATAGAAGAGATGTTCCTTGGGAAAGAAGTCACACATGGTCTATGTCTGGATGCCATATGTACGTGTGAGGTTGATTAAACCGATGCCGAACCGCAAGATGGCAAAGGTTTGATGCTTGGTTTGGTACACAAGTCCAACCCGTTATATTCCAACGTCTTTATTCCACTAACACAGACCACCCCGGGCTGCTTATTCTTGATCAAGTTGGCGACCTAAGTGCTCTTGCATTTGTCGGGTTCCATAAAGAGAGGCCCTTTCTCTCCTCGGAACAATGGCGTTCAGGGCATCGGCAAATATCGGAGGGTTCTGGGTGGAATCCTAGAAAAAGATGAAGTCAGTAATGCCCATCGAGACATCCATGGGTTAAGCGAAAAGAGCAAGTTGAACCTACATTAGAGATGACAAGAAGTCACTCAATAGATTGTGTTTGGTCGTTGAACATTTGAAACTTTGCCGTGGTAGGACACTCGGGGTTTAAACCACCCTTTTTCCAATTGATCGTGGGTCTGATGTCGATGCAAGCTCCGGGGTAGTCAGAACACACACTTGAATTCAAGCTTGGCAACTTCACTCCCGTCACACCCATCATCGAGCTGCTGGTTTTAATGGGCAACCAGGATAGATCGAAATGAGCGGAAGCCAGGATCTTAGAAGGCCGGGTCATTGGTGACTTCAAGTGCACTAGTGCTGTCACCGGAACCGGTGTGGTAATTTCGATCTGCGGCAGGTTTTCGCCATCAGACATGTAATCAAGGTAGTCGGTGGTCTCAAGGCTGTCGGGGTATGTCTAGGCAGTGGTATCAGACTGTGAGAAGGTAATAGAGTGTCTCAAAGTCTCCCTCATGAATATGCCTGGGCAGGCGACTGGGTTTCGTTCCGAATCATTGATGACTTCAAGCGTTTTGACATTATCTTGAGTGTCCGTGAAGAAATCATTGGATATGGGAGTATTTATAGATGAGGATTGTGTTAGTCCATGAAAGACATCCCAAGAGATACCTGAGAGACACCTGAGAGATACCTGAAAAGGCCAGAAGGATTTCTGACAAGGCCTAATAAATGGATATCGAAGAAGTTTACGGCTAGATATATTTTTTAACAACTAGGACTCTTGCTATCATTTCCCTCTTCCCTCCCTCGCCCTATCAGGTATCAGTCTCCTGGAGTCACTGTTTCGATAGTTTCTATATATTTTTATGGCTTCTTAGTGTGATCCTTCTCACTATCTCTGTCATAAATACTACATAGATGATGTCTCCATATAATACACGAAAGTAGCATTAATGGTACGCTCAGACACAGTGGCTGGGAGAATTTATTCCTTTGACACGCTTGGTATACTTTCACCTAGAAGAAAGAGAACTCATTCCCACCCCCAAACGCGAAATCCTCCAAAACACTCGGATCCACTAGATTGGCCAGCATCTCTGCCCGCGTTCGATCGGGTTGTGTCTGTGTACCGTTACTGAACAGCGAAAAGAAAAAGTCCCCGTCATCTAGATCGGTATTTTGTTCCAGAATAGACGAAGGTGTATCGAGGGATAATTCATGCGCCTGTGTAGACAATGTCACTGCCGGCAAAGCGATCTCGCCTCCTATTGGCATTGAACTTGAAGTTGAGTGCTGTCGCGCTAATGGGGTTGCAGCTGCAGCTGCTTGAGATGAATTTATGATTCTTGTTGAGGATGAATATGGCCCTCCAAGTCTAGGAAGTTGGCTTTGGTTTTGGCTTTGGCTTTGGCTTCGGTCTTGGCTGTGGTTGGGTCTGTGGGGAGATCGTCGTCTTCTAGCTAGACATGTGCGCGCAACCTCCAGGACTTCGCGGAGCATCTCGGCGCAGCGACGGGCGACGATGATGTCGCCCATGGAGGAGAAAATTTCGAGGGACTTTTCGACGTCTTCGAGGAGCTCGTCGTCTGGGAGACCTGGGTAGTTTGAGAGGATGAGATGGAGGAGGATCATTGACCCGTAGAGTGCATAGGTCGTGTTGTACCACCTGTTAAATTGGGTTGTTAATTGTGCTCTCCCACGGGAGTAAGAGGTAGGGTGACTGACCAAGTGCGAATATAGGTCATGTGCATGAATGACTCGTATTGCATATTAATACTCATCCGGGCGGCAGTGAGACACGTGTGTAAATGGACGGAAAGGTCCAGGGTTGAAGTGCCCGTATTTGCAGTTGCTGCTACAAGAAATGGCCTGTGGATGAGGATTCGAGTATTATAATATCCTAAACATGAAGTTTGATTAGGGAATCTTTCTAGGATGCGTTGAATTGGAACATGGGACGTGTCAAGGGAAACTCACTCAACCTCAGGACTAATTTCTGTTTGAACGCCCATTCGGGGTCATTTAGTGCATGTGCATCTAGATTCAAGAAATCCGGCAGCGTTTCTTTCCACTCAAGAAGTCGCTGGTCAAGTGCCATAGCTAAACGGGACTTATCAGCTATCGATCGCCGCATGGAGTGGTATAGTTGATGAGATGCCTCGGACATAATTTGAGCTAGGGAAACCATTGCCGGGATCATCGCTATGTCGTTGTCTTCGGCATCAGGGTCGAGGTTATCGGAATCAACCTGATTCTGTCAGGATTGCACAGTGCGAATTGGGGAATGGCACCTACTTTTAGTTTGGGGAGGGAAGTCTGGTAATAATGTAACTCTTTCATGCTGTCCAGACGTCCAGAGGAACAACACATTTCTCTGGGGATTGATGTTAGTATCATTTTCGGGGAGTACAATCCTGATGAGATAGGCGCTGACATTTCATGGGAGTAGATACACCTAGATAGAAGCGTTAGTATCTTATTATCTATGCTAGCTTTAGGGTCAAAACTTACCACCAGGTGCGTCTAGCTTCTCGTCTCACACTGGGAGGCAGAGAAGACATGCTCGAGCCGAGACCAATAGCCGCTGCTGTGCGGACAGCCATCCCGCTGTACATATAACAGCTATGGGGCTGCAACGAGTTTTGACGGAACACACTCTAGGGGAGATGTTAGTCTCCCTCTAATGTAAGATCAACAAAGACATACCAAAAGAAGAAGAGTCTGAGCAGACTCCAAACAGGAACTCTCGAAAACATCACCCAAAGTCCGTTTTGCGAGGCCGAAGAAGAATTTTGCAAAGTCAAGAGCTGTGAACCTAGGTCCTCTCCGAGCTCGTTGCATCTGACTCGGATCGATAAATTGCTGACAGAAATGTTCTAGCAAGGAGGTCTCGTTCGGGCTCGCATTGATCGCGCCCAAAGCAACGACCGCAAAATATAAACCAGCAAACTTCGTAGCCCCTCGGAAGAGTCCCTGGCGATTCGGAATTGGCCAGGCTTCATCTTCACAACGTTGCATAAAAGCGCCTTTAGAAAGTAGTGGGTGGATGTAATGCTTGTTCGCAAAGTAGCTGCCAATGAAGGTTTTCTCGATCTCCACCTGTGCACTCTCTGTAAGGCGAGGGAATAATGACTCCAGGCTGGTGTCTTGATCTTTTAATCCTTGTTAGAAACTCATATGGGCTGCGATAGACATCGGAAAGCAAAAGGGGCATCTACCATTGCTTATTGTCGGGGTCCTATTTCGGAGGCCATCTGAATCTGGCGGACTTCTCTCTGTCGTGAAGTCCACCCCATCGTGGGATTGGGGTGAAGGATGCCCGATATAATCTGCATTATAAAGCAAATTCACAATTGAAAGTTGTGATTTGCATGATCTCCTGTTACCTTTGTTGTGCCTTGTTTCTGGCGATAAAGGCTGAAATGGTGGATTAGGATAGTTGTGCGAAGCTGGGATTTGTCGAGAGGTCTCATCAAATCGGGGTTGATCTCTGAGCTCTTGATGGTGTGCTCTTGCGTATAGATTCCCTAGGAATGCTAGATTTGACGAGTTACCATAAAACTCGGTCCCATTAGTGTGCAGATTGACCCCGCTTAACCCATCCCTTGAGGCAGCATCACCTAGCTCTGTATTTGAGACTGGGCAGGTAGTCAGTTTAGTTATTCGGGTATTGCGGGAGGTGCTTACTTTGTGAAGTATCGGATAGCCCGGCCGACGCGATCGTTGTTTTGGGTGTGGTGTTGAGACGGCCCCTCAACAGACTTGGAGACTGGGCCTGGGCCTGTGGAGAGCCAATTGATAGTGTCTTTTCGGGGTTGTTCGTGCCTCTGATTGTCTCAGTTTGATGTATGCCTGGCCATGGAGATGGCCTAATGTTACTTTGGCTTTGCATCTAGTCAGAGATGCTTGGAAACAGATATGATGAAAAGCCTAACCTTTGATCAGATTCCTGAGCATCTCGTTTCCTTTTATTCGAATCAACGGGGGTTCCGCGCCCACCAGAAGTGCGGAATACGCAGTCAAACGAGTGATCTATCTCTGGGTCAACTATTGCCTCGGTATTTCAGGGCGTGGGACTAATACAGGCGCAATAAGAGCAAGGCTGGGCTTGATCGCACTAGTTTCCATTGTCAGAGTAGATATGCTTTGCGAAAGGGCAGCAAAAAAAAAGACTGCGATTTCAACGTCGAGTTCGACCTACCTTAGTCTTCCGAGCACGGCAGGTTTCGCATGCCCGCGAGGCCCGCGGCACACGACGTTGCGAAGCCCATCGTGCTTTGCCTTCAGACGCGCCCATGGCTATCACAACAGATGTATGTGCTTTGAGAAGCGAACGGTGATCTCCCCCGCCTAATCTCATGAAAATTGGCCCAAGTGGAACACCCCTTTTACCGAACCAATCGCCAATCTTCAACTTCTTCACCTCTCGTGGGGGGATTTTGCGGGGTCTGGGGAAGAATTGGGATATTATCGTTTGTTTGAAAAGAGAGGTGTTTATAAAAATGAATTCTATGTTTTGATCTCATTGCTATAAGTGTATATATATATATATTTTGACAGGAACCAGCCATGAGCCACATACGAGGTAGCTGGTTAACTTGCTATTCACTTGGAATATATTGGAATGTTAAGTCTCTGGCTTTCACTCATAAGTACATAACTGGTTATGTATTTAAGAACATGTTTGAGGAATACCAATGCAAGGAGTACCACCTGGGCATGCTGTTCCGACGGAAGACAATCTTCCGACGGATAAGACTCGTAGTTGCGCACCTTCAAGTCATACATGGATACATTTACATAGATGTGTGGGTTATCAGTTATTTAGCAATATTAGAATAGGGAATCTACATATCTCATTATCTATAGTATAAATAAGTTAATAAGTCGCTAAGTTAATAAGTTATCACAGATTAGCCCTGGAGATCCATGGATGACGAGGTGACTTATCTCCCCGATACCCCGATTACTCCGATGCAAGGCGATAGCGGGTAAACCAGGCAAGTTGATATCAGCTTGGACTCAATGCACTTCCGGGGTATATAACATAGTTGGTATCCTCCTGTTTAATAGTACATTTTATAATTCATACTCAATCCTAACACACTTCTACAAATCTTATACCACGTGCCCTCATTTCTCGCTATTGATTATCCCTTTCAACAAACCTTCAACATGGCCTTCGATCAGGACACTTTACGATCTCACTTCTGCCATGCGCTTTCAGAAATGTATAAGAGCGAAGTCCCTCTTTATGGCGACCTAATCGATGTAGTCTGGGAGGCAGACGCAAAAACCGTTCAAAACAGCCAGAATATCGAGGGTCATCGCGTTATAAATCCAGATGATATCTTGCCCGCCCGGCATCGTGTCGAGAGACATGGAGCCATTCGACTAGGGACAGCACATGAGCTGGCCACAATTCGTCGCATGTTTGCTGTGATGGGCATGCACCCTGTGGGCTACTACGATCTCAGCCTCGCTGGATTCCCCATGCACGCTACCGCCTTCCGACCAAATACCCAAGAGGCGCTTGATAAGAACCCATTTCGCGTATTCACAACAGTCTTGCGGATGGAACTGTTGACAGAAAGCACTCGGAAACTAGCGCAGAAAGCGCTGGAGCAAAGAAACATCTTCACACCCAGACTTCTTGCCCTGCTAGATATCGCAGAGAGCCAGGGCTTTTTGACGCCAGATCAATGCACAGAACTTATTAGTAATGGTCTGGAGACATTCCGATGGCACTCGAAAGCAACAGTTACCCTTGAAGAATATGAGCAGCTCAAAGCTGAGCATCCTCTGATTGCGGACGTCGTCTCTTTTCCCAACTCCCATATCAACCACTTAACGCCCCGAACGATTGACATCGATCTTGTACAACAATTGATGCTAGATCATGGAATGCCCGCCAAGGATCGTATTGAGGGTCCACCAAAACGATCGTGTCCAATTCTTCTACGGCAGACAAGCTTCAAGGCACTGGAGGAAACTGTCTATTTCAAGGACTCGTCTGGTTCCTATGTGAAGGGCTCTCACACAGCACGCTTTGGTGAAGTAGAGCAACGAGGCTACGCTTTGACCCGAAAAGGACGTCAGCTTTATGATCGAATCTTGAACCGAGTCAATACAGAAGCCGCGGAGAGTGGATTGAAAGGGAAGACCTATGACACGCTATTGGAAGAGCGCTTCAAAGAATTCCCCGATAGTCTTTCAGAGCTTCATGACCTGAGACTGGGATATTTCACCTATCGGTTGACACCACTAAGCGACCAGTCGGTTAACGCAAGCTTTGTATTATCGGAGGAGTCCATCTCACTTCAGGATCTTCTGGATAAGCAGATCCTGAGTTATGAGGCCATCACATACGAAGACTTCCTTCCTTTGTCTGCGGGAGGAATTTTCAATTCCAACTTGAGTGGTGTTTCCCAGTCCAAGCAACTGATAATGAGCGCGGACCCGGATCTCGATGGTTTCCAGCACCTCCTCGGGAAATGTGTGGCGGATGAGTTCCATCTATATGCCGAGATGCAACAAAAATCGTTGGAAACTTGCCGACAGAAACTGCGGTTAAAGGAGATTATAGTATAGAAAGGAGCGTTTTATACTAATGGCACCTATTTGAACTCGCACTTTATTAACCACAAATTTGTTTTTCGGTATATCATGATTGAGCGGTTGAGCTTCCCATAGGTAGTTCTTTTGATATTCACGACTATAACTGACTATATATACAATGAATCTGTTCATATAATCATGCCTACGATATTACTAGCTATTCATTCAAAGCAAAGCTTCTTGTCGGAAATAACTTCGGCGTTTCCAAGCCCTTGCCACCTTGTGAAGTCTTAGCCTCTCAACCAAATACTTCGATATCCAAACGAGAATACCTTACGATCTCCGATCCCCCGATCTCTGGTCAACTAGAAATGGCGGATCGAAATTTGCCTCGCTTTATCAAGTTTCCCATCCGACTGGCCAGAACTGGAATGGTTCCCTATCAGTGTGCATTCAACGGATATAATCTCAACAAAGTCAGGCTGCCAATCCGAAGGATGGGCATCAATATGCAACCCTAAGTGGAGCATTAATTGCTCCTCTATCTCGCGGCTCAGTCTGGCCCCAGTATGAACGTCCCACCGTTGGTCGATCCGTAATAATTTGTTGATCTAACTGATGTGGATATTGCTATTCAGGTTGTCAAGCGGCAACGGGAGATTTAAGCGGAATTGGCTAAGCTAGGCGTTGCTAACCAGGGGGAGTATTTCCTAGGCTTCAATGTTACCACTGATGCTCGGATTCTTCAGTTCATTCATCGGAGTATGACTAGCCCAAGCAATGGGAAGAGCCTATATTTATTTAATGACGCCCTACATCACGACAATAAACAGGTCTTCTGAAAAGAAATTCAATACTATAGAATACAATGCATACAGAGAACAGCCCAAATCGATCTATCTGTACAATATGCCGCAAAGATATCAATGCATCGCGGCAAGACAATTACCAAGAGCCCAAAGATCAGACCACATCTCGAGTAATACCGTCAATGCCTCGAACCACTGTCGGATCATGGTCCGGCATCACATTTTCGCCTGAAAAAAGCTTCTCCCAAACACCGAACTACCCAATCATGACCGGGGTTCAATTACTGAGCTGTCCGCTGAGTCTTCCACGACCACCGCGCCTTCCGCCAACAACTCATCCGGCGTCTTCACTCGCACATCCATGACACGCAGGAGCGTGTAGCGGTGCTTGCTCTTAGCCTGCTTAACGTGCCTTTGTCTCCGCTTAGTCTTCTCCTTGATGCGAAGCGGCTCTGCGTCCACACCCGTCACACGAACACGGCACTCGTAGATACGCTCGTCGATAGTCGGTGTGCCCTTCATTGTGAAATCGCGGGATCCAAGTGCTGAAGCACGGTTGAAGCGCAGAATATCGCCCGCCTTGACCTTGGGCATGAGGAAAGGCAACCGAATGTGATCACCTTCGGTCAAGAGGTATGGTCGTGCGTGCAATTGAGCGACGATGTAGTGCGGCTTCTGGCCAGCAAGATGGGGGAGCTGTGACATGAGAGATTTTGTCACTTCGAGAGGGGAGGTGAAAGTCGGGGCAACGGGTTGTTTTGCAATGGGGACGTGTGCGCGTGTTTGAGGTGTCATGGTGGTTTCGTCGAAAGTGGAGGCCTTGACGCCCTGGTGAGACTTTGGTTTGGTATCTTGGGCCCGGGGGGTGGCGCTGAGAGGTGATTCAGGGTGACTAGATGCTGATTGGCTCTGAGGTTGTTGCGAATTCATCAAAGATGCACTTTGGTGAAGGCATGCTCGTTGCTGCAGGGGAGCTGCGGATGAAATTGTAGACGGCGCAGTCCAGCGCAGTTCGGAGGCGAGGCTCCGTAGAGCAGAGCGTGAGAACATGTTGACTGACCGCTTGCCAGTGCTCAATGATTGAGAGTGGAAGTGGTCCTCGGTGGTTGATATCCGAAATAGAAGAGCGGCTTCCCCGTAACTAGAGAAATTCACTACTTGCGCAAATGGCCGCTTTGTCACCCGTAGTATCACGTGATGTTTATCTATCTGACATCTGACTCGAGAGTGTAGATTTACAGTGACAAGAGACCAATATGGTGATAGTGAGCTATATCGCCTAATTTCAAATAAACTGCTTTGCTATCCCTAATTTTCTGCCGTTCGTTAGTGTGTTTTTTTTTTTTTTTTGGTTCTAATATTTACAAGTTGAGAAACGACCTTACGATAAGAAGTGTCACGTGCCTCGCTATCTTTTCCCGCATCACAACTTTTTCGGTCTCGATTAGATCTTCAAGGCAAGAACTTCATCACCCATTCACCTCGTGTTGTTCATTCGTCGTTCATCATGGTAAGCTCCTAATGATTTATCGATCTTCCAATGTTTAATTTCATCAATTTACTAACTTTTTTCCTACCTACAGCCTCAGAACGAGTTCGTCCCTCCCCGCCAGCCACCGCCCGATCTCCAACTGACATTTTCCCACCAGGTATATCGAGCGCTGGCAGAAGCAGCACGGCAAGCGCCTCGATCACGATGAGCGCGCGCGCAAGCGTCAGGCTCGTGAGGGACACAAGGCGTCCCACGATGCCCAGAACCTGCGTGGTCTGCGGGCCAAGCTGTACCAGCAGAATCGCCACAAGGAGAAGATTCAAATGAAGAAGCGCATCAAGGCCCAGGAAGAGAAGAACGTCAAGTCCGCCGCACCCGACGAGCCTTCCAAGACTCCTCTGCCCCAGTACCTGCTCGATCGTTCGCAGGAGACCAACGCCAAGGCCCTCTCCAGTGCTATCAAGAACAAGCGTAATGAGAAGGCTGCTAAGTTTGCTGTCCCTCTGCCTAAAGTCAAGGGTATTAGCGAGGAGGAGATGTTCAAGGTTATCAACACCGGAAAGAAGACCCACAAGAAGGCCTGGAAGCGTATGATCACCAAGCCTACTTTCGTCGGTAACGACTTCACCCGTCGTCCCGTCAAGTACGAGCGGTTCATTCGTCCCATGGGTCTGCGTTACAAGAAGTGTAACGTCACACAGTATGTTTTATCTTTGGGGGAGAATGCCCGCCCTCCGGTTTATTTTGGTTGGATATGGTATATTGACTTTTTTCTTCTTCAGTCCCGAGCTGGCTGTCACCGTGCAGCTCCCCATCCTTTCCGTCAAGAAGAACCCCCAGAACCCTCTCTATACCCAGCTGGGTGTCTTGACCAAGGGAACAATCATTGAGGTCAACGTCTCCGAGTTGGGTCTTGTTACCACTTCCGGTAAGGTTGTCTGGGGTAAATGGGCCCAGGTGACTAACACCCCTGAGAACGACGGTTGTGTCAATGCGTGAGTTGCTTCGATCGTTCCTATTGTCTATGTTATATCTCAAACTAACCTGGAATAGGGTCCTCCTTGTCTAATTTGACCACAAGCACTTCCTCTACATTCCCGGCAGGCACCCGCCTGTCTTCGATACCTCCATGCTCAGGCAGTTCTATATTTCCCTTTCTTGATACATACGGTCTATCAAGACTGTTCTATTCTTGGGCGGTGTTAATGGCGCAAAGTCAAGTCCATTGATTTCAAACGAAAAGTATTCCGCATGTTTGGCTTTTGAATGGACATAGCTAGTTTTTAGATAGTCAGGCATTTATCAACTATGATTTTATGAAGACAAGCAGCATCTCCATTGTAAGAGATTATAAGATCATGGATCAAACAAAGATTTGATCGGATTTCCAAGTAGCCCATAGGATAAAAAACACCCGTGGACGCAGTATAGTGTATCCAAGCAATGAAAATAGTCAAAGGTTGTCAATTAAACATCCTAACCAAATTGGGAGTCATTGTCACTCTAAGAACGCTCATACTCGAACAGTATCCACCTGGATGAAGGAAAAAAAAGATGAAACATTTGAAGGCTAATGAAATCATGTACGGGAATGAAAATCAACACGCTGCGCTGAACCGAGAGTCGTCAATAAATACCCACCACAAGGCAACAGGGTTGGGTCGGACAAACACCCCGAAGGATGATGCAGAAAGAAGAGAAGAGACAATGCAAAGAAACACAGACAGCCATATATCCCGCAAATTAAGCCAACCAGACCCAGACAGAAAATCAACATATCCAACACCAGTCATTAAGTCGTTCTATCCAAGAAGGGAACATGAGAAAAAGCCGATAGGGCAGTCAAGACAAAGGAAATAAAGTGAAAGGAGTGGTCGGGTGTTGTCATGGATTTTCTTCTTCAAGGGCCGCTTTTATTTTTGCGAAGAAGCCTGCGGGCCATGCAGCCAATTCTTCCTCTCTGGGTATACCGCGGGCCTTGCAGTGGTTGACAACGTTGGCTAAGATACGGCCAAGCATATCCTGGGTGACTGGAACAGCGCCCTCAAGCTGAGCATCGGGATGCAAGAAAGGGTCGCGCGGGCCAAGCATCTCCTCAATGGTTGGTCGGAGGGTCTGGTCACGCTGCAGACAGCGCTTGAGAGTCCGAACAAGGCCAGGAGGCACAGGAATGCCACCGACGCCGAAGGCCGGGAAATCGATTTGTACACGGGGGTTGGGGATGGCCATGATGCGTTCATAATATTTCGCGATCTTGGCGAATGGTGGTTGTCCGTAAACCATCTTGTACAGAATACAACCCAGACTCCAGACATCACTGGGTTTTCCTAATTTCATAACTTTTCCAACGCTTGAAGGCAGACCAAGCGACACGTTGGAATCTACCAATGCTTCGGGGGACATGTAATTGGGTGTGCCAACTTGCTGTTCACGATGAACGTTGACTGTGTTATCTTGAATCGCATTGGCAATTCCAAAGTCGATGAGCTTCAGCCGGCCTTGAACCATGAGGAAGTTGGCTGGCTTCAGATCTGAGTGAACGATGTTGTGCTCGTGGACAGCTTGGACACACTCCAGCATTTCCTTCCAATAAAATCGAGTAAAGTTGATATCAAACACAGCATCTTCGGCGTTTAAACGGAATGTAAGAATCTTTTCAAGATCAGACTCTCCAATCTCCATAAGCACACTAAGAGCATGTTTGTCATTGTTGAGCTCCCAGTCAAACAAGCGCACCACACGGTCCACATTCTCCAACTTCTTCAACAAATCGATTTCACCCTTGTATCCAGTCAAAGTCACAGGGTCGACATCTTCAAGATTGACACGCTTGAGGGCGAAAATCTTGTAATTCTCTGCCATCACTCGATAGACACGCGAGCTGCCGCCACGGCCAATGCAATCAAGCCGAGTGAAATGCTTGCCATTAATCGCGACTTGACTCTTCTTTTTTCGTGATTGGGATGTCGATGCGCCTCCCGTAGAAGTGGCAGTCTCAAGAACTGACATTTTCGGGGGAGGAGGCGCGGCCCTATGAGGGGTATTGTTGCTCCGTGTGGCCAGTATCTTTCGTGCAGAGTTGGTTGCTGGAGTCTCTGCTACATCTTTCTTCTCAGTATCGTAGACAACATTATACTTTTCAGGTCTATCCAACACATTCAACCCTTGGGGCTTTGTACGCCGGAAAGTTGGCGGTGGTTCATTCTCTTGGTCACGGGCTGATGGCAAAGCTGGTATTGAAGGAACCTTGAATACAGGTTGTTCCTTCGCAATTGATGATTTGGAAGACATATCTGATGAAGCGGGTGTAGACTTGGAGCCGTATGATTTTGGGGAAGACGACCTCGAAAACGGTCCTTCAACCTCAGCAGGGCGAAGAGGATACTCTGGTCGATTGGATTCACGCACGAGAGACGGGCTTGGATCGGCCCATGACACCTTGGGTGATGAGGGTTTTGCTGAGTTGCGAGGTCGGTATTCGGCATTCTCCTCCTCTCTTTCGACGTCCTCCCGGACGCCGTCAGCCGAGAGATATTGGTGGTTTTCCTCGTTGCTTTCCTCGCTCTGACGACGTAGCACGCCCCTCCGGGCAGGACCGTTCAAGAAAGTGCCAGCAAGTCGACCAACCCGCTTAACACGCAGTGAGCTGTGTGGAGCGATTTCTTCGCCGCCGCGGCCTCGCAATGCGGAAGAAAGACCATATCGCAACGCTGGATCATCGTCATATTGGGATTTCCGATCACTATCCGAGCGCTCCGCACTACCATACTCGTCACCCAAATTGCGTTCCGACGAGCGCTTTCCTGAAGGTGAGACAGAGGCGGGGGATCGAGTATTGCTGCGCGAAACATTGATACGGACACTGCGCTGGCGTGGGGCAGGAGTAATAAAATCATTAGGGCGGCTATGGTGCTCCTGTTCGGCGCTCTGGCTATTTGATAGTGGGGAGCTTTCGCGTGAGAATCGAGAAGCGGAAGAGATAGCGCCTATACGAACCACTCTTGGAGCCGGGCTACCATTAGATGAGTCGTGTGGGGACGAATTCCGGGGTGAGCGGCTTTGCTGTCTTGATGTTTCAATTCGAGGTTCGTGCGACATGTGTGCCTTTTGCAAATGAGGCGAAGAACCTAATCCATCCCCATGCAGTAATGCCTTTACAGAAGCGCTGAACTTAGGCTCCGGGACCTCTTCGTCGGAGCTGTCCCCAGAGTAGTGTTTGGGCATAGCTTGTGTTGATGGAGATACCCGTCTGGAACCCGAGCGTGAAACCGCGGATCGGGACATCGGTCGGGCTGGCTGTCGGTACAGTTCGTTGTATGCTGGGAGGGAATTCGGGGACGCCATGGCGATAATACCTACATTGAAGTCGTGGATCAATGTGGCCCCTCCAAAGTTGTCGATTGTTTTGTTGATCCTGAATAAAGCCCAGCCTCGAGGTTTCGTCGCGGGCGCGCTATATAGTCACGTGTTTGTTGTTGCTATGGCGACGTCTACACCATAACATACCGGAGACACTTGAAAATAATTGATTCTGCACTTAAGTTGAGATTGCACAAAAAGAGGAACATAGCTTTGGGCTAATAATACCCCGGTTTTCTCTAGTAAGGGTGTTTCCACTACCTTAAGTAAATCCAGATGTCCCAAGGCCACAATCAGTCTTTTATACCCGATTTGGGATCGGCCGGATAACCTCCACTTACTAGTATCCCTCTAGTTATAGGCTACTAGACTAAACTTGGCAATGCTGCCATACTCTCCAATCGGGAGATTTTATTGTACATTTATGAATCTGAGTTTTGATTAAATGGCAAGTGATGTACATGTGGTATCGTCAATATAAATGGCCATCACTGCCGTCCAATACTCGGTATGATTGATATATTAGTAGGAACATCTGAAGCTGAAACGAGACCTGATAATTCAGATGTACTCAATATCGACAAGACTTAAATCGTCCCCTCTCTATAAACACTAGGCTATCGGAGTAACCCTAGAAGAATGTCATATAGGAAGATAGCTTTGAGGTGTTGGACTACTATGAATTAATATAGTCAATGGTCACTCCAAAAGGAATGCGAAATTGTTATATATCTTAGCTTACAGGGCATTTGTGATGCAATGAGTTTGTGAAAGAATTAGTTTATCACTTTATCACTCGAGAAGTGCCAAAGAGAGATGAGACTTTCATATATGGTAGTCGTTTATAGGGTCAAAAAACATTTACAACAGATTTCCCAAGTCAGTATCAACATTCTCCCAGTCATGCATGATATAGCACAGGCCGGCTACAACGACTCCCACCACTAGGGACGGAAAGAAACGGGGCAGGACCTGACCCGTCCATATTTCTATGAAAGTTGTCATAGTTGACAAAGTTTGGGGTACCGCACGTTCTTTGTCATTGATCTATGTGACTAATGGGTGCATCAAGGATCATGATGGGCTGGGCTGGAAGTCTTCGATGTGTCTTTCTGCAAGAAGCAAGGGATGCAAGCAATATTCGGCAGGAAACAGACGACTGATAGAGGATTGAGGGCGTCGTGAATAATGCGGTGAAAAATTCGACCGATAAATCGATGGCTATTCATGAGAGAGAAAAATGCCCAAATACCATGAAAGCCCCATTCACCTACCTTTTCCTCAACCTGACCGTCATGACTCTTGGCCAGATCCTCGCCATTCCAGTGGCTCTTCTAGCGGTCTATATCTGCATTCGAATTGGTTCTATCCGGAGGCAGTTTCGCGACCTGGTATCGTCTCCATTTGTGGCCCCCATTGTCCCGGGTCCCAAGACTGACAAGATACATCGATCTGTTGTTGACAGCCTAAACCACCCCACCATGCGTTTCTGGGCCACTTTCCCATCCTCTTGCGTGAGCTCCAGACCGTACCCGGAGATATCTTTCTTCCGTTAGTGGTAGATCTGGTTCGTCGCAAATTTGACCTACCGGTGGTTTTCTTTCTCGACTTGTATCCTCTCTTCAATCCTATCGTGTTTATCAGCGACCCCGGCCTCGCGAGAAAGGTTACGCAGGAAGATCGGTCCCTGCGGTATCCGGGTGTCTTTGAGACGCTGTATCCGGCCATTCCAACCCGATGGTTTCGCACCGTAGCGGATCGGGCATGGACCAAATGGCATCCTGTGGTCGGCGTCTCCTTTACAGCTGCGCACTTTATCCGGATGGTGCCACAGATGGCTGAGGACCTGCAAGCTATGTTAGATCAACTGAACGACTGGTCCGACCGGGATCAGATCTTTTGCATGGAGCGCGTGGCCACTGATGCCATCCTCGCCATGACTGGGCGGGCGTATTTTGGTATGGAGCTGGACTGTTTCGCCCCGAAAAGTCAATGGACGTCGGCCTTCCGAGCTGCCACCACACCGGTAGTAGCAGCGAGGAACCCTTTGTGGAAGCCATTTGTGTTGCCGTCGTGGAAGAGACATGCCCGAACTTTCCATGCGATGATTCGGGAGAAAGTTCAGCATGCGTTCGACAAGGATGAAGACCATGGAGCCGGGGTTCCCTCTTTATTAGAATCCTCCTTCGCTGTCTATCGGAAGAACGGGTTCCACGAGTTTCCTCGAGTCTCCGAAGAAGTCCTTTCCACAGAGTATCTAGAAGAACTGACCTCTACGTAAGACCTCTCCTTTGATTCGGCGATGTGGGCTGACGAATGTAGTGGTGCAGCCTTCTTGATCGGAGCCACGAGTGGTGCATCTGTGATCAGTGTAAGATGTCCTGGTCTGATCCTCTGGGGAAGAATGCTGATCGTTTCGGGCACGGTAGTATGCCTTTCTGCTCCTCCACCAGCATCCAGACATACTGGATGACCTTCGTACGGAGCACGGGCAGGTGTGCGGATTAAACCGACAGTCCATCCTCCTTGCATTACAGAGTCGCCCTCGCCTGTTGAACGACTTGAAGCTAACCCACGCAGTGTTGAAGGAGACGCTCAGGCTCTTTCCGATGGGCCCTGTTCTGCGCAAGTGTCCTAGGTAGTTCGTTTCAGGTCCGATGAGCTCTACGATGCTAATAAGGGTTCCTAGCGAGATGATTGAATATGAGGGCAGGACATATGATATTCGGAATCATATCGTAAGTCTCATTACCTCTCATGCTCTGCCTGTCTGATCTTGACCGAAATAGGTCGCCATTTCGCACAACTCCCTCCATCGCCGCCCCGACCTTTTCCCCGACCCCGATGCTTTCAATCCGTATCGGTTTCTGCCCGGTGCCGTCATTCCCATCCCCGCGGACGCCTGGCGCCCATTCGAAAAGGGGAACGGATACTGCGTGGGACAGGAGCTGGCTATGATCCAAATGAAGGTCATGTTGCTGTTGACTTTAACTGAGTTCGATTTCCAGCCAAAGTACGCGCGAAAGGCTGCTAGGGGCCCAGATATCTACGGCGGATACGCCTACACGACCGGCTCAGGCATCGGACCGACACCGGCTGGAGGACTACCTATGCGTGTGGACAAACGAGCGAAGTGAGAGAAAGTTTTCATATGTAGCGTGGTGCCCAGCTCTTATACACTACTTGACTTTCCATTTGACATTATCGCATTCATCTCGTCTAGGCTAAAACCCGTAACTACAGTTTAAAGGGAAACGAGGCACTGGCAAGATAGTAGCAGTTCATATACACGCCACTCTTTTCGGTGTAAGAAAAGGCAATCCATGTATGCAACGCAGTCGAATCCTTGAGGTCCTGCTTGGGGCTGCAAATCATTTAGCACAGCCGTCTAGTCACCGGGGGAGAGAAGCACTTACAACATTGAAAACAAGCGATCTGTATACTGGTCGCCCAGGTCCGACCATCCTACCCGTTTAAAGAAAGTTGACAATCCATCAGCCACCTTCTTATCGTTGAGACAGTGACCAGGAATGTAGATCCGGGGCGATGGGGTCTTGTCACCAGGGCGAATTTCGTAAGCCCATAGCATGGGGGGATTCTGCACAGCCTGCTCGGGCAGCGTTTCGAAGTCCTGAATGGGCAGCAGATCCCAGAGCTCCTTAAGATAGGCAAGACCCTTCATCGTGACTGCATCCGTGTAGCGGCCGCCGACGGTCCACAGGTCCTCGGCCCGGCTCCAGGTGGTGCGGAAATCCGAGCCGTAGAGCTTGATGCGCGATTGGCTGCGCGGGATGCAGTCGAATGAGAACCAGGTGGCATCGTTGAAGTTGCTGCTGCTATCCAAATAGTTTATCACGGTAGCCAGCGTCTCACGATCAATGGTGTCGCGATATATGGCATGGATGGACCCCGTCAGCAGCTCCGCCAGGGGGTCCCTGAGGCGCGTGCCTTCATATTGGGGATCAGGTAGATCTTGACGATCACCTCGTCATCACAAAAGTCGAATCCCATCGAGTGTTGCATCTTCGCAATGGAGAAGGACTCGGGTAGCGTGCGCGTCTGGTCGAGCAAGGCCTCCTCTTCGCGACTTGTGCACAGAGCGCTGGAGAAGTGCCGCCATAGCTCAAGGTCAAAGGACTTCAGTGCCTTGACCTGCGACAGCTGGTTCAGCGTGTCCCAGATTTTGTAGTGACTGTATGGATCACGCGCAGTGCCCGCGAACTGGCTGATTGGCTCAACGCCAACGCGGACCATTGCATTTGCGTCAATGTTTCGCCAATTGACGCTGTATTCCAGGGGCAGTCCACTGGGGGTAATCCCCGTGTTCCATGCCCGGCCGGGCACATCATAAGGTCGATACCACGAGAAGTTGGGGATTACATGCTCATAGAAAAACTGCAGGAACTCATATTCTTGGGCAGGGGTGGCCTTGGTCCACTTGATAAGATCGGCCAACGTGGACGCAGCATGATCCCACCAGAACTCCTCATCGGGACTAGGGAATTTCTTATATTTGGAAAGCACCTGATAGGGGGTGAGGCTGGTTGGGGACGAAAGAGAGCCCATGATGCGAGTGAGGAGGTCCAAATGTAATTCTAACAGAAGTGGGCTACACAGCTGTTGGGGTCCTCCCATTCTTTATCATTGATGATTTTCATCCATACCTGTTTCGAGTTCCCCGAGGTGACAACGCATCATGCAGCAGGCCTACATTCTGACTGCATGGGCATGTTGGCTATCTCACATGCAATGTAATAGAAATGCAGTGAGAAAGTCGCAAGCAAGGGGAAAGAAAGAATCCGCGAGAGAGAGCGTGGAACAATTGCATTAGGGTACGTCCTTTATTGTGACAAAATAATATGATCCACCGTCAATGGCCCACTTTGCCTGATAGCTGAGCTCTTTCTTTTCAGGGCTGGCCAGATCCTCTATTGGCCTCCCATCCGGTGTCTGTCTTTCCACCATGATCACTGTAACCTTCTTCTGGGTAGGAATTGTCCTGGGCGCCATATGGACTTTCTACAGGGTCGTCCTGTACCCCTATCGCGTGTCGCCGTTGAGGACTCTACCTCAGTCCCAGGTAGGCACTCCCACCCAGATCTCCCAGATCTCCCAGGGTGAGTGGCTGATAGAGTGCAGCGCGGCCACTGGCTATGGAATCATGCCTTTTCCGAGTTCCTTCAACCCATTGGCCAATTACACGCGGAGCTCTTGTTGCAAATACCTAATGACGGTATGATCTGTCTACGCGGCTTGTTTGGCGCGCCCAAGATCTTGCTCACGTCTCCCAAGAGCCTGGCCGATGTTCTTGTCCACCGGGCAGACGATTTCGAGAAGCTCCCAGGCGAGCGGAAGATCCTCCGCGCTGTGGTAGGCGATGGCCTGGTTACGGCCGAAGGTGATGTACATTACCAGCAGAAACGAAAGCTGCTGGCTAGCTTCACGCCGCCGAAGATCCGTGCCCTCTATCCGGTCTTCTGGAAAGAGGCGACCGCGCTGACCCAGCAGATCAGACGAACCCTGACCCATGATGGGTCCGGGATCTATACAGGGACCACAGACATGGTCTATTGGGCACCACGGGTCAGCATGGATATGATCGGAGCAGCCGGCTTTGGCCAGTCTTTTCATTCCGTGCGCGACGTGGACAGCGAAATCATCCATTGCTATGAGAAAGCCTTCGCGATCGGAGCAGGACATTTGCTGTGTGTCTTTGCCGACACCTTGCTTCCACGGATCATCCTACAATGGCTACCATGGCCCCGATGGCGGCAATTCCGCCAGAATATCGACTCCATCCAAGACTTCTGTCATCAATGGGTGACCGATGCAAAGGCGACCAGTGCCCTCGGGGATGGGATACCAAGCAATCTGCTGGCGAATATGATCCATACCGGTGAATATACATTTCAGGAGTTAATTGAACAAGTCCGGACATTCCTTGCAGCCGGGTATGCATTTCCGTCCATTCTTATTTCCCCGTATTATATACTGATTTAGTGCCACAGGCATGAAAACACCTCCTCGGTGGTGATGTGGGTCATGCTGGCCCTCGCCTCCGATTCCGAGCTGCAATCTCGCCTCCGTCAGGAGTTGCAGGCGAGCCTCCCGGAAGTTGAGTTAGACAAGGTCGACCTGGCGATCCTCGAACAGCTGCCCCTTCTGAATGCCGTCGTGAGTGAGACTATTCGGCTGTTCCCCCCGTTACCGATTGGCAACCGCATCGCCATTCGGGATACCACCGTCATGAACCATCCGATTCCCAAAGGGACACCGTTTTTGATCGTACCAAGAGCTATCAACCGGTCCTCCGAACTCTGGGGTCCCGATGCCGATCGCTTCAATGCGGACCGATGGATCAATCCCGACACGGGCCGTTTCAATAACCATGGTGGTGCGAGCAGCAACTATTCCTTTCTCTCGTTTTTCCACGGACCCCATAACTGTATTGGACAAAATTTTGCGCGGGCCGAACTCCGGACGGTCGTCGCTGCGGTCATTCGGTCGTTTGATATGGTCCTTGACAATCCTGCGGCCGATGTCTCCCCCGTGGGCTGGTTCACTCCACGGCCAGCAGACGGGGTCAAAGTGAAGCTGCGCTCCCTAGTGTGATTGATGCTCGAGACTGTGCACCCTAGGGCCAGAATGACATCTGTCAATAGTCCACCAGTCGTTCAAATGCGTATTTTGGAGCTTACGGGTATGATATGTTAGAAAGTCAAGACAACATGGTATATGGTACCAAAACCATTGACTACATTTCGCAAGTTTTTATTTTAACCCGAGATATTTTATGTAGCTTAGTTTCAATACATGCAATTCAAGAAATTCCAAGACCTATACCTATAAATATCGAGAGAGTAGTTTATTTGCGGTTGCCTCACAATTGTTGACCTGAACTCAAGGTGGATACTATTGAGAAACCAGAGTTGTTGAGACCGCTGATTCCAAGGTTCCAAGGTTGGTGCACAATGCCCAGGTACTCGTCTCATGTGATGTCTACACCGAGTCACCGACATTACGAAGGGCTTCTCTTCCCTCCTACAACTCCCGAGAGTCAGTTGCTTCCCTCTGCGGGTAGCTCCTCGTCCCTCTTGACTGCATGAGGTCACCAATAAAAGTGACTTAATATGTTCTGACCGGCGACTGTAGCATCAAGCAAATTGGTCCATTTATAGATGCTATTTACACTCTCTAGATCATGCGTCGACCCTGGTGTGAACCATCACGGGCATTCCTTTATTCACATGAGGCCCAATGTGGAACTCAGGATACCCTTTGCCACCCAGGTATTCTGCCGCTTGGGGGGGCACCTTTGGGAAACACAGGAACCAAGTCAAACTCGCGGCTAGTAGTTAAGAGCAGCAAAACCAGCGATTTTAAAGCCAGATTTTGCCCCGGGCAACTCAGGTGGCCTTTCTCAAAAGGACGAAATGAGTCAGCAGGAATGGAGGGGTTGGCCCCAGGGAGGAAGCGATGAGGCCGAAATGCATCGGGATCAGGGAACAGGTCTGCACGACGACCCATGGCCAAGTGACAGATAAAAGCCTGCAAATCATCAGTATAGGACTATACGTCGCTTGGAATGAGGGAATTGGAAGCACCTACCACGTTGCACACCACCGGATATACGTTGCCTTCGGTCTCGAGGAACTCCCTATAAGGCTTTCAATATTGGTTCTTTCCCCTTATCTCAGGGTAACCTACTCATTTTTCAGTTTCTTAAACACCCCGCCAACACCAATAAGGCGCAGGGTTTCCTTGACGACGGCCAGGGTAAAATGTAATGAATTGATCCGGTGAGGCTCCTTCTGCAACAGCTCCCATGTCTGGGTTCTGTCGGGGGAAAACACACGATCATGTTCTTCCCGCATCTCCCGCAAGCAGTCGGGATGCTTATGCAGGAACAGGTAACAGTACTAGATTGACCTAGGTTAGCTGTGACTGCGGTAGAATGTAGTATAGCATCCAGAATACATACCGAGGCCGCCCCTGCTGTGACAACCGAAGCCAAAATGATCACCTTCATTCTGCGTGGAATCGGTTAGCGCGATCCTCCTAGGAAGACAGCTACATACGTGTTAACCAGATAGGCGATCGATTCTGCATTATCCATTCGACCGCTTGCCAAGTGTTCCACATGGGCCAAATAGATCGGCGATTGGCTCATTTTGCCAGATTCCCCTGTTTGCGCTGTGTTTTGGATAGTTTCAACGAGAACCTTGTTGAGACAGTCTGTGCGCTGTTTTATTTCCTTCGAGTAGATATATCGCTTGACGGGATTCCATCCCATCATATCCAACGACCGCTTAATAATGGGATCCAAGGCGCTAGTCTCGGCCAGGAGATCGAAGGACCCGCCTAGCTGGATGACGCCGCCGACCTCAATGATATACGAAATCAACAGGTCTTTGATAGGATACTGCTTCCCACTTTGGGATATTGAGTGTAGGCGGGAGCGTAACGAATGCAGGCTGGGGGCCAGCAAGGACGTAGCTTCGTTCACGCGTGTCGATGTGAGGGCCGCATTCAGGGCCGGGTTCTCCTTCTTCCAATTCTTCTGTTCCATGGCCAGGATAAATTCGGCGGTCAATAGCGGACTGAACAGGTTTGGCGAAAATCGCTCGCGTTGCAGGGGCTGTACTTGCGTCATGTGCTTGGCGACGGCTGGTTCGGCGACGACCATGATGGAGGGTAGGATCGGCCAAAGATCAAGATAGAAGACCGAGGGCATGTTGTACTTACGTCGGATGTTCTCAACACAGAATAGGTGGAAAAACCCCTCGGGCGATGCCAGAATCTCGGCCAGCACAACCCCCAGATTTCCCAGCAACATGCTATGCGGAGGCGTTGGCTACAGCGAGAATAGGAACCGATCAACCTCACATATTACAATGGACCTGTGGGGGAAGTAGAGTGCCTACTAATCGATGATACCGCCGTCGATGCTTCACTGTCTTGATCACGCAGAGACTCAGGAGAAGCCCGACAGTCAGGAGAGTGAAGGTTCTGAATGGTCCTAGGGAATCCCGCATCATTGCAATGGGTGCAGACTGGAGTAGAGTTGAAGACATATTCCACTTCCCGGGATCGGGTCGCCTCCAAAATGAAACTGGATTTGACACGCTAGTGGGAAGGACAATGGCAATATGGGAAGTGACAGCCTTGTGTTAATTGCTTAATTCTTTGGCAAATTATTTCAGGGTATTACCTCACGGTACTATTGTTCTATCGCTTATATATATTTTGTTATCCTTCTGAACATGAATTGAATGTCGGTGTGTGAAACAGGTGCATAACACCGTACATATGCATTGATCAACATGTCTCAATGTGCAGGAGTTTATCTTCGACTGACAATTGCTTTCTTGCATACAACATAAGGTTGGGATCAAGTGGAATCAATATCACACTGCATGCAACCTCTGAGTGGCAACCTGGGCCTCATAATGCTCAACCCTTGCATATTGGGGGCGATACCTATCTTCATTAGAACCTCGTGTCACTGTGGGGCTCAGTGGGATGATACGTAAAATTCCCTGATTTTAACAAGAAGGGTAGCCATC